ATAATAATAATAATAATAATAATAAGAGTGACAACAATAAGAATGATAGTGATAATAAGAATGTATTGAAAGGTGGACTGTGCTTGAAAATTGTAACCGCATCATCCATACTTCAGGTTTCTGCTCACATGATGCTGGAACATGCCGAACGTATTGTTAGCGGAGCATCATTGCACAAAACTAATCCAGACACGCTGGATCGGATAATACGTTATATCGATGGAATCAATCAACGCCAAAGGAGGATATTTTCACCGCGAACTTCAAGGCGACGAACGCCAGTGCGGCCAAGTCGCCGACGCTTGATTTCCAGGCCTAATAGGCGCAGAACAAATTTCTCTCCAACTGATTTTGTTTTTGAGTAACCAAAGGAAGAACTCTGGTCCCAATGCAATTACGGATGTATAATTTCTCAGTTATTTGTAAGTACTCAGCAAAACTAAATTTTGACATTATTTGTGCATACTTGTACTTTTGTCCACTGAAATCATCGCCATGCGGAGGAGATTTCGACTTTTTATTGGCTGAGGCAGCAACGGAAGAAGGGGATGGAGTCTGGCATGAATATTGGATATTCACACCAAAATATTTTCTAACTTCTAAATTTTTTTCCTTAACATTACCCAGCCAGCCGATCCTCCGCTCATACAGCTAGTATCTTTTCCAGTTTCTTTGAACAACGCTTTGCTGCCGTATGGTCAGCTTTTTGACGTTCCTAGCAATTTTTTTGTCCCTTGAAGTGATTTTACGATAAACCCAAACTGGCTGTTTAGTTATTTATTTAGGAAGAAATTGGCCACTCATACGAGTTCCGAAAAAATGGTTGCGTGAAATTGACGGATGATCAGCTTCAGTAACTGATCTCTTTCCTTCTTCTCCAAGCGATTTGCGAGTCTCTGTAAAAAATACTTATCATAATCATACTGCGGGTCTCTTTTTTTTTCTTCATATTATTATTGTTTGTTTTGCAATAAAATTATTTTTTTCCTGCTGTTGCTTCTCAATTCGCACAACGGTAAAAGTTATAAAAAGCCCAATCAGTGTATGGGGATCCCATGTTAGCGATAATAAAGATGTTGCAGGTGACATACAGAAAATACAGAAACATTAAAAAATAATCAGATTAGCAAGATTTAAGTCGTTTACTTTCTCATTCAGCGCCACAGCTGGATTAGTTTACGACATAGCCAGGACACTGAGTGTGGGTGCCTCATTAAGTAATGATATGCCAAAGGAAGGAGTTAATTAAACTCACTGTTAATGCACTAAATAGGAAGATAGCCAAAGAATGCGGGAATAAATTCTTATCCTAATTCAAAGAGAAGAGTACATACACTAAAACCGCACCAGATGATGCAGTGTGGTAATTCAATATTACTCATTTTGCTTTTTACTCCACAATTCAGAGAGAAACAAGTGAGGAGCGAGCAATAGGGATGAGGGAAAAGGAGGAGAAATTCAGTAAAGTAC